ATGTGAAGACAACAACAACAACAACTAGACCGCCGGGGCGATTAGCAAAGGAACAAAGAAGTCGGGAAAAAAAGTCAGGACGATCCCCACGTCGACGAAGAGATTCGAACTCTCGCGGGCATAGCCCAACGGCTTAGCAGGCCGTCACCTTAACCACTCGGCCACGTCGACTTGTTGTGCGCAAGACTAACCACCAAGCCACGTGACTTGGCGTACGCTAGTAAGCAAGTCTGCATGCTGGGGAGTTGTTGTTGTTGTTGTTGACTTCACATTAGGGGAGTGTATCAGGTCAATGTCCACAGCAGTAGATCGGGGGACACACGCTGCGCTGCAATACAAGTACGACACGACTATATATGCATGCAACGCCAGCGGTCGAGCGGTTGTTCTTCAGCAAAAGTTGTCCTGTGTGTTGATTGGCCGAGAGTTGACCGTCGTTAGGTCGGTGTACACTTGCATACACAGCAAGTCGGCGCCGTTGGGGGTTACCTCACAGTTTGTCGTCTACTGGAGACCGCTCCTTGCCTGCCGTTCCAGTGTTTGTGAAAGAGTGAATCGGCTTTGGACTTCTTGCGGACCACGCAAAAAAAGACTAAACCAAAAACGAATTTGGTCTTGCAAGGGTATGCGAAGAGCAGAACGGGTTGTTGTTGTTGTCTTCACATTAAAAACCATCCCGGTCTCTCTATCCAGTACCTCCTTCTGTCTCAATCTCTCCGTACTAATCCATCACTTGACTCGGCCAATTTCCGTGGTCACAGGCTAACGTACCTAGAAAAGGTATACCAAAATAAAATGGACCCCAAGGGTCAGCAGAGCGATAAAATACAAGAAAACAAAATATAATCAGAAACAAGTATAATAAAATAAAATAAATAATTAGACTAGTGGAACGGCCGCACCACCAGCCTGGGGGGGTAGCCTCCCACTACATGGAGGCAGGTCGACGGCCAAAGGAAGGGGCGGGGGTACGTGCCAGTAAAAAACAAAAGACAAAATAAAACAGAATAAAGCAAAGACGAGGACACAAACAAACTCGCACAGAGACAGGGATATCCCTAGAGACAGTCTGAACGCGACAGCAAACGGGGGAGAGGGCAACAGAAAAATTAGTCGTTGAAATTCGACCGCAACATGTCACGTCACGCGGTCGGTCTCTTCTCGCTTGCTTTCTTCCCGCCGCGCCGTTTCCTTCCGCCCCCCTACCGCCCCGTTGATTGGTGCCGTATCTAGACTATTTTTGGGCCCGCTGTCTCCTCGTTTGATGGCTCGTTGTCGGCTGGCCTCCTCCTTGCCCTTGTGCCAAGAGGCCATAAACCTCTCAGCTCCCTGTAGCACCCCCGCGTGCCACGGTACCCCCCCCTCCACCTTCGCCGCCTCACTCCAGACTAACTTCGGGACTCCGAAGACGCTCGGCTTGTCGGTCGTGGAGCCGTACCTGGCTTCGAACATCTTCATGTCGTCCTTCAGGCATGTCAGCCAGTTCTGCTCCGGGTTTCCCTGGCCCGGGTCCTCCCCTCCCACCAACTCGCCGAACATCAGCCGTTTCGGAAGCCGCCCGTCCGGCTGTCTTGCCACGGCCCCCGCAAAGAGCAGGCGCCGTTGACGGACAGTGGCCTCCACGCTCTGGCAGCCGACCCTCTTTAGCGCCTGGGCGTATGACAGCTGCCGGTAGGTGCCTCGTTTGCGCCGGTAGCCGATGACTCGCAGGAGTAGCCGGTGGTGTGTCGTCTGCAGCATTCCGTAGTGGTTGCGGCGTGGGGACCATGTCATGCAGCCGTATAGCAGTGCCTCCACTGCCTCCGCCTGGAGCAGGCGGGCTTTGAGGCTAAACGGTGCTCCCGGTCGGTCGAAGAGCTCCGTGGTGTATCGCTTATTGCACGCCCACGCTGCTTTGCTCCTGTGGTTGATCTCTCGGGTAAGGTCGCCGTGCTCGTTGACGAGGCCGCCCAGGTATCGGAACTCGGTCGTCTGTGCGTACCTTTGCCCCGGTACTGCGGTCTTTTTCGGGGCGAAAATCCTGATGTTGTTGTTGTTGTTTTTCTTCACATTGAAGTCGTGTCAGTTGCTAATCCCAAAATCTAGCAAGGACTCGGTCCGTGTGGTCACAAAAATGCTAGAGCCATCAGAAGATCAATAGAACACACACAAGAAAAGGGTACACAAACCCGAGGAGGTACACCTGCAATCCCTGCAGCACGTTTGCGTGCTCACAACTGAACTACACGCCCGCACACTACGAATCGACTACAGCAGCAGCATCACCCCCCTTATCCCGCATTTAACCAAAATGAATGTTTGTCGACTACTACAGCGTACTGC